ATTTGTACTTCCACAGTGTAACTGCATTCTTTCTCAGGCTTGCACAAAATTAATTTTGACCACATATTAATAAAAGTTTCTATATTCCAACTCCTCACTAAGTTTAAAAATAACCTGTTCATCTTCAAAATGATCTCTAATCCAGCATAACGACAGATTTTACAGAATCTGTCCAAAATGAAATCTCTTATTTACAGCAAACAAATCTCAACAAGAGAGATCCTCTAATAACAAAAATATGACAAATGAAGAGCGAATTTAATCACAAGCAGTCTGGTTCTTTTCTCTCAGATGCTATACACCAGTAATTGAAATAAGTGATTCCACAGATAAATCAAATGATACAGATCTGGGTTTGTGAGAAATACTTATCATCCCTCACTGACACTCACACTCATACTGTATACTAGAAACTGCTGCACTTACAGAATAGTCTGAGTGTACACATACATATATGAAACAAGGAAAGAATTTGTTATATGTACTTCTTCCCCAAATATCTGTGTGCAACATTAAAAAAAACTGTAAAAAAAATTAAAAATTAATAAAAAAAAGCTACGGGTTGTCCATCAAAGCTATGAAATGCTAAGAAAGAATTATTAAAAAAATTTTTAAGGAATGATTTTTAAATTATGCTTATTTAGCATAATTTATATTATTTTTTTAATTTATTAAAAAATTTAAAAAATATTATTTTATTATTATTATAATTTATTTAGCTAAAAAGTATAAATCTATGCTCCTTAGATATCAGTTAAATAATAATCATTTGTTTTTAAGTGAAGCTTTGGCCAAGGAATGAAAATTATTTTTGTAATGAATATTGCAAAGATGTCTTTCAACCAGTAGTCATTGCCCAGATTACTTACTTTTAATAAAACCCCACATTCGTAGATCAGTATACAGCAACTGATAAAAGAAAAGGTTAAGTCTAATTTTCAATGGCACTGCAGTCAATAAATTTTGTTTAATTTTGTTAAAATTTACAGTGAATTTTTTTCTTTCTTAGCTTCTAATAACACAAATGTATCTAATAAATTTTACTTACAGTTTTTTCTTAAAAGTATCCTGAATTTAAAAAATTTAAAAAAATCCTTTAAACTATCAGCAGTTGCAAGATTAAGCAATTCTTTCTTCCCAAATACGCGCAATATCTGTCAGTCATAAATTTATGACATGCGCTGTGTTTGCTTGCATCCACAGTAATGTGCAACTGGAATGCAAGCTCAGCTTGTTGATGATCATCAAAAGGTTTACTGCATATGGCTTTCCAGTTTCACATGCTATGAAACCTCCTTAAGATTACTCTAGATTTTAGTTTTCTGTGAAGGTGGTCATCTTGCAGAATATGTTTATTGGTGGCACATTCTACAAGAAACATGGTAATGAGAGGTTTCAATGTATAATAGTTAAATAACTGTATAGTTAATCTGCAAAACAATATGGTGTTACAAAAGTGGATTATGTTTCAGGCTGTATTTTCATTATAATTAGTACCAATTAAATACCAGATATGATTCTTAAGAAACTAGAAGTACATGGCCAAAGTGAAAACTATAATTGATTGATGAATTAATTACAGTGAACCCTAAACAGGAGAGATGCTTCTGTGGATAATTTTAATGACAAACTAGCATTTACATTATGCATCATGAAAACAACAAAACTTTCATGCAGTTGACCCATACAATAATTGGAAACAGAACTTCCAGTATTCTGAGGATTTGTTCATTCAGCTACGACCTAACCTTGAAAACTATGAATCAGGCTTGTTTTAAACATTCCATAAGCTTTTAATTTTATTTTAATAAAGTTTAGTCATACCTCACCTTGGAATTATGAATTACTCTTTTGAAAATAAAAATTTAATTAATTTTTATATTACTAACTGAAATTTTTCCAAATCTTTCCAGCTACTGCATAAATAATCATTTGGTAGCATGCTAGTGCCAAAACAAAACCCCTTCAGAAACAAAATTCTATTCATAAATTTATTCATGAAGGTCAAGTATACTGCAAATTTCTTCATTCAAAAAATGTCACCAGTAAATGCAAATATCTACCATTTTCTTACATAGAAATTTATTAACATATTTGATATTTTTATTAATGCCTAACTACATACGGAGCTTTTAAATTAATTTTATTACATGATATAATCAATACACAACATAGCTATGCTGTCAACAGTCTTTAAGTATTAATACATAAACTGCACTTTAAAATTTGCATAATTTTCTCCTAGTTTGCTTATTAAATATAAATTGCAAAAAATATATGCTAACTAATTAATTTTATAAAAAATTAAATACTTTACTAAAAATAAATTTTGCATACAATAAATGTTTTGTGAAGAAATAATTTTAAAAATAAACATAAAGAGCATTATTTATAAACTAACAACGTTACTCAAAATACTAACAGAAGGGACGAAATCCAAAAGTTGAATGGAAGGAATGACACATTGAGAGAGCAAATCATTTAAATTGAATGAGAAAAATAAGTATTATTTTTTAAACATCACTTTGTATTAATATACATTTCCAGTATAATACTTTTTTATGAAAGACAGAATATTACTCTTTTTCAGTAATTCATAAAAACTGCAATTTTTGTTAATTAACTGGGTAGATAACAGAAACATGATAGTGAAAAAAAATATTTGGAATATCTAAAAGATCTGGAATTTTGATTAAGAAAATTAACATCAACCATAACTTAACTACTGAAATTTATATACCTTTTTGCACATTAAGTTAATATGAATGACAAACACGTAATCTGTGTTATGTAAAAAAAAAAAAAATATGATAGTTATTTTTAAGAGAATATTTACTTTTCTGAAAATATTTGCAACATCCAAATTATATTCAGATAATTACTTAAAAAACATTAAAACTTTAGTTCATTCATTTTACTTTGGGATAAAACTTGACAGAATATCATTTAAATTAATTAGAAGGGAAAAAAATCACCTTCATTTCTATATTTATACATTATTAGTACATTATGATTCTGGTCCAAATTTTATAAACATACTAACTACAATTTACTCGTATAATATGACCCTTTTAGAAGAAATGTTTACAATTTATGTTTAAATTTTAAATTTTCAATATAAAAAATCTCCCTTAAATCCTATCTTAATTAATTAATTCCCTAATTTTTTTAATTTTAAGAAATTTTATATCAACATTAAAAAAAAACTATTCATGTATACTGTTTTGAACAAGAAAAAAAAATTGCTATAACTCTTCTACTTCATTTTCTGCAAAGGGGCTTGAAACTTTGGATAATGATATGGTGAAATCCTAAAATTTTCAAAATTTGTAGGACGAAAAAGAACAAAAGAAGTTTTGTATTGACCAATATAGCATTCATGAATTTTTTCAGAATTTTTCTACTTCATCTCTGTTCCCTACAAGAGACTCAAAATTTTAAATTTTTACATTAAATTTCCATATTACATGCATACATTAAACTTCCATACATGAGGTGAATGAAATATTTGCTTCATGTACACAGCAATCTGTTTTCGCTTAAAAATGCATCAGTTGCACAAATTTGACATTGGGCATAAATTCAGTGATGAATTACTATCATCACTGAAATTTTTGGCAAAATTGGGAACTATTTGATAATGAATGACTTCAATACAAAAGCAACTGAAAATCTAGGACGGAAACTTATTGATGCTCATTCTTCCCATTTGTACGCAATAATGCTACTGCTGGTTGGCTGGCTATAAAATTTTGGAGCTTTGATGCACATTTGGCGACTGCCAGCCTATTAACAAAAAAGAACCCTTTCCATGATAATAAGAATGGTATTTACGACATAAGCAGTGTTCCACTTGACCCTGTGTGTTCAGCTGTTTTATCCTGTTTTTCTCTCTATCAAATTAATCTAACCTTTTGCTTTCATTTTATTTTTTCTTTATATATTCCCTCATTAGCATGTACTTCCCACAGCTATGTATGATAAAACATCCCAGATAGCAGATTACTTAATATATGGACATAAATCTATTTTTACCTCACTTACATGAAGTAACAGAACAGGAGGAAGGTTGGGGAGTTTTCATAAACATAACTGTATATTAGTGATAGAGCATCTGAATGAATGGATATTGGCAATACAAAGTAGTTTCGAAGAATGTAATTCCACTAAAAGCTTGATTAAATGAAAATTGCATATATGACCACCTGACACCTGAATAAAAACACAAAGTGGAATAGCATTTGGAAAAGTGGAATGGAGAAAGAAAGTGTTGTTATTTCAGACAGATGAGAATAAATGTTCAACATTTTGAATTACAATTTCAAATATTTTCTTCTTTTATGATAAAATGTTTCTACTAAGATTTATAATTCCCAAGGAAAGAATATTTTACATTCTGAATATATTAGGACTAACAAATTACCTACATTCAGTTTAGGAATTATTACAGTTAATCATACGTCAAAGCTTACATATGAACCATTTTATGACAAAATTTTAAAAAATAATAATCTGTTAAAGGAAATAAAACATCCAGAGAAATATTTAGGCAGTAACAGCAATAATATTTAACATTCCTCAATGTCCGCTTGTGTAATATTAATGTTATATCAAATAATCTTGATTTATAAAATGCAAAATTTATATTTAAAATTTCAAAATTATATTTTAAAACAAAAATCTTATTGCATTCAGTTTTTATTACACAGTAATTGAGATCAAATTAATTACAAAATATTAAGTAAGTAGCATATTTTAGTTAAAATAACATGCCAAGTAACGATTATTGTAGAAGTCAAAGCAACAGGAATCAGCACTGAATTCTTGTTACTCAAAACTCCTCCAGCAAGTACCATATAACTTCTAATTTTCATTCACATACTCATAAAAAAATAACACATACTTAGCAACACGAAACAGTTTTAAACTTTTCGTATGTTATATCGATATAAATGCTTTTCAACAAGAGGAGTAAAATTAAAGTACTAAGAAATACATACCTTTAGCAGATAGATTGAGATTATGGTCACTAGGATGGGAAGGTTTAGCAGAGGGTGTTTTATTTTGATCAGTTGGGTGTGTTGAGAGAGGAGGCATGCCTAATAAAGCATTTAAAAGTGTATAACTACAAAATCATAAATTAAACAGCTTCACATTTCCAAATGAACAAGTAGAATATTCTTTGTTATTTCATTATCTAAGTTACCGTTAAGTTATTTTTAACAAGCACAGTATCATTAGTTTAAAACACCGCATCTTACATGCAATAAAACAAGGATGCATTAAATAAAACTCGGTAATATCTGAACCTAATTTTTCAAATGTAATGCAGAAAACAAAAAGTAATAATACAATTACACTTGTTATGATTCTATTGAATTTGCAATAGATGATTTGATAAACCATTATCTTTTACTTGTAAAAATATAATTAAAACCTCTATTAAAATTCAAATAATTTACCAAAATATCATTATTACAGATTTTAGCAACTATAATGCATGTTAAATACAAAAATTTAGTAAAGTGCTCCATTAGTCAAAACATCAGTTTAAAATTCATATTTCAAACATATTAAAATGCTCATGTTTTGGATGTTTGCTTAAAACTGTTTAAAATGTTAGTAAATTTTACAACACTCCCATATGAAATATTACTTTTGATACTGAATAACTTCCCTTTTAATTTATAATCAATAATGCTTTTTATGTTAGTTATGTCTAAACACACACAGCAATTAAATTGAAAAAAAACTTGTTTAATAATTTAAATGCACCAAGTTTCATAATGGCTTAAAGCATAACACAGTGTATAAAGCTATGAAAACCTAAACAAAACAGTGCATTTGCTACGGTGGTGGTTACAAATTAACTTTATCATAACAACCAGATTTATTAGTTAATGTTTTAACATGCAGTTAATTCAATAAAATATTTTTTATATACACTGGTGAAATAAATTAAGAGAATTTTCATATTTCATATACAATCTCTAGAACTACTAGACAGATTTTAATAAAATTTGGTGTGAACATAGGTTGATATAATAAAAACAAAATAAAAATTCAACAGTTATAATAGACACACATGTTCATGTGTAACACTCATGGGAGTCTGAAGGTCTGAAACAGCGGTAGCAGAAGACACAAAAGAAATGGGTTAATAAGGAATATATCCCGTCTTACAGCCATACAGGCCTCGTACTGCGTGATGTCAGACTGGAAATATGGCAAGTTTATGAATGCCTGTGGCAAATTGGTTCCACTCATTCAGCATACGCTGTTTTCAGTTCCTTCCTGGATGGTTCTCGGAGGGGGTGGCGAGTTGGGCAAGTTGCAATCTCCCCAGATCGTCCCAGACATGCTGTCTATAGGGTTGAAGGGTCTGGAGACCTGGCTGGCCAATCCATCCGGCGAATATCCTCACTCTCGAGAAATTCGTCGACCAGAAGAGATCTATGTGGCCTCGCGTTACTTGAGGATCGTCCTGTAAGATGAACTTGGGGCCCACTGCACCCCGGAAAAGGCGAACATAGGGCTCCAAGACCTCATCCCTATACCTCACACCAGTCACAGAGCCTGAGTCATAGAGCCTCTGTCAAAGACACAGAGAGGTGTGCGGCCATCCAACATGATACCTGCCCAGACCATTACACAGCGCAACCACCATAATTGTATATTTCGCAGACATTGGAGGGTAGGTAACGGGTCCCTGGCTCTCTCCATATAAAAGTACAGCAAGAATAGGTGTTTAGGCTAAAACGGGACTCGTTGGTGAACAGAACGGTTGCCATTGCTCCGTACTCCAACCACTATGCTGCCTGCACCATGCTAATCGGACGCTTCTGTCAGTAGACGTGAGCAGGACGCAAACAGCCGGTCTTCTGGCAAACAACCCTCTCTCTTTTAGTCTTTTGGAAACAGTCACCCTTGTTACACGGGTTCCTGTTAGCTGCATACAGGTCCCTAGAGAGCTGAGAAGCTGTAGTCCCTCTGTTACGCCTCGCTAAAATGGACAGACAGTGATCTTTCCTGGCCGTCGTGGCTCTTGGACGACTTTGCCCAGGCTTTCTCTTGATGGATCCTGTATGCTGGAGCTGTTTCCATACTTTACACATGATGCTGGGCATTAAACTCTCTGCATATTTGGACTTGTGATTGGCCTACCTCTAGCCTCCCCACAATTCGCCACCTCATTCCATCATCTAAACGGTGGTGGTTACTCATTTTTACCATTCTGATTTGAATTTAACCGATTGCTGCAAGATAACACCAAGAAATTCACCATGTTGTGCTATCGAACACAATTTGTTTTGCATTCCATGCGCTTATAAAGCCTGTTTTTCTGCTGGCTCTGCCTACACACATGTAGACTCTTACGTATTTGGCATACAAGATTTGCATTTTTATCTAGAAGCAGTGGTTTTTCCTTCGGTTCAGTTCTTTTTATGCAATTCGATAAAATATGCAAATTCTCTTAATTTATTTTACCAGAGTAGTTGCAAAATATCATTTGACAGAAAAATATAACTGGGACATCTTTCAATAAATAGGTTAAATGAAATAAGCAACAAAGATTTTGGAACCATTTTAAATAGCATCTCAAAACAATATTTAGGTTTTTTTACAAGAAGTAATATCTATCTGCAATTTTCTCTAAAACTTTTCATCTAAATCTGATGCTCTATATCTCTATATACAGTAAGTCACCTGATATCACTAACATTTATTTATTTATTTTGCAAATGCCAAACATTGACACTCAAGCCACTAGTTCACGGGCTCCGGGTACTTTTCAACAACTTCCTCATACCAAGAAAGTGCACAGGGTTCATAGCCACATTTTAGTTAAAAAAATAAGCACCTATAAGCACTTTTCAAGCACATTTTAAGAAAAAAAATAAGCACCTGTCTAATTACATCATACACAACTGCATAAAAAATTAGACTTGTAATTTAAAATATGAGAAATGAAGTACTTATTAAGAGACAACAAGCTTTACCTCAACCATAAAAAATAATTACTTTTTTTTTTGTTTTTAGTTTTAAATAATAGTTCAATTTACAGAACTAGTTTACAATGAGAGAATAAAAAAAAACTATGAAGAACTAAACTATATTACAAATTTAATGATGAAATTTCAGTTCAAAATAGAGAAAATAAATAATAATAAGGTATATTTATTGTATTCGCTTGGAACCTAATAATAAATACAATTTATTTTTCCACTCATATTGATATTAATAATTTAAATCTAAATTCTGAACATTTCTAAATTTTTCATTGTATATCATTTTCTTTTAACAGATATTGCAAGCAAAATAATTTAAGTAAAAAAGAGGAACATTTCTGAAATCAGAAGACAGAAATTTGCTTCATGCAGTCATCTTTAACAGTAAAAGGTTAACTAACCCGCACACTTGGAAATTGGCGAATATTCGGACAGTCGAGCGTAACTTGAAGGAGCGGAGGGGGGTATACTGTAGCTGCTCTTTAGATTTTTCCGCTAAATAAATGCTTTTGACATTTCAATATGCACATCATATAAAAATAAACCAACGAAAGTAAAAAATATTCTGCTTAGCAAGCACAGTAAAACTCTTTTAAGTGTTCATAAACAAATCTCGGACTGAACATCAAAATTAATTATCTCTGCAAAATATCGCAAACGTTATTGCGCAATATGTGCGCCGTAATTCTTCCCTACGTGATATTACGCAATCGGAATCAACAACTGCAGGTATTGGGAGAATAAGGAACTAAATAACTGGGGTGTTTTTCATTCTAATTTTCAAAAGATGGCGTTAAATTTCCAGAATAGAATCATTCTTTGCTTGGGTTGGTAGACCGCAGAACTTTTAGTCCTATTCAATCCAAAGTGACAAAAAAAAAAAAAAAAAAAAAGGTTCCGTTGCTTGTTTTGCAGCGAACTGTAACAGTTTCAATATTCAAGATTTTGCGGAGAAAGGGAGAACCTCCCAACCTTCGCACTGTATAATGTATTGGCCAAAAAAATGAAATTATTTTGACTATTCGATTACTTTCCCTTTATTTAAGCCATTCCGAATATTATTCCTTAGAAAGCTAATCTGTGTTAAAACAGAACCATTTTTGGAAGTTTACTATACTTCAGCAGTTACTGCAACTATGTTATTATAAACATTCATACATATGCTCATAATATAAGCATAACGATCATAATAAACACGAATATGAACTGACCAAGTGGAACGAGAATGCAAATTTTTAAGATCTTGATAGAAATTCAAACATGTATAGTATTTGGGTGGGAGGAAAAGAATGCCGAATGCAGTGGAATTTTCACTGCTTTCGCAATTCTTTGACCAATAGAAGGACGGGCACCTGTCTGTACTCTTTGTGCAAAACCAAAGGTTATGTTAATGCAGAGAAAGGGGGAAAAGCTATTTCCGGGAGTATGACTCACCATCTGACATTACATATTAAAAAGAAAAGTTGTTTATTTAGTTTCGGCTTTGGTACGGGGAAAAATATGCATTCATAAAAAAAAAAAAAAAAAAAAAACTAAAACTAAAAGCAAAAAATAAGCACTAAAAACAAAAAAAATAAGGGCTTTAAAGAAAAAGTAAGCACCTATAAGGGCCTTTATATTTTATTTTCAAATATAAGGACTTATAAGCACTTATAAGGACCGCTGCGAACCCTGGTGCAATACAATTATTTAAATGTTCAAAAATCACAGGCTGATTGGAGTCACACAAAATACAGTTTGGGTAATCTACCACTCCAATTCTGTAGAGGTGGTCTAGCAAACAGTCATGTCCAGTCAGACATCTAAATAGAGCTACCGCTGCCTTTCTTGGAAACCTGAGAATGTAAGTTGCCTCTTCTCCCAGAATCCTCCAACTCTTATCCACAGCATGTTAAATCATACCCTGCTTAATTTTTTTAAGAGTCAGGTTAACAAACAAATTAGTTGTATGAAATGAAAGCAGTCAATTAATGCATTGCATTATGAAAGTTCCTTTCTTAACCAATGTACTAGCTTTTTCTTTTCCCATAATTCCACAGTGGGCTGGAATCCATTGGGAAGATATTCCATGTATTATTGCCCTAAGCAAAGGCCTACAGTCTAAGACTCTTTGAGAACTATTTTGATTATTCAGAAGAGCTTGAAGCACACTTTTGGAATCTGACAGTATGACTGCTTTCCAAAAGAGTGGCTACGAATCAGCAGTTGTTGAATAGCCACAACAATAGCTTCGATTTCACCATCAAAGGCAGTAGCAAGAGGGCCGTTTGGTATGTAGAATCTAAAACGCTTGCTATGGATACTTGCTCCAGCACCGAGTGTTTTCTCTAACATAGAGCCGTCAATGTAGACATGCAACCACTCATTTTGAGGATAGCGAACCCCCATAGTTTCCATTGCAATAGACCTTAACTGAGAATCACTCATTTTGTTTTTAACAACTCTTTGAATAAGATCCAGATTCATATTCAAATTCAAAAATTCCAAGGGACAATTGGGAGAAGGTAAAATTAGATAATCTTGGCTCGATTCCAAAGCATCAGATTCTCTCTGTGCAGCCTGTATAAAGCCAATTTGAGTTTTAAGATTTCTAGAAATTTCTTTATTATAGTTAATCCAAAAAGGGTTGTCGGGCAAACGCACCAGCTTCTGGTATAATAGGATCTCTTTTCTCTTTATGCAATCATGATAACCAAACTGGTTAAAAGCTGCATTGCAAGAATTGGAGATCTCACTCCAGTAATTATACGTAATGCTTTGTTCTGGAAGACTTCGAGGATCTGGACTACATTCTCCAGAACCATGATGAGGATCTCGCTACAATGACCAATAATTGGTTAAATGTATATAATTTATAAGTAGTCGTAAATGTCTCTCTGTCACAACCCCACCTTGAACCAGCCAGACATTTTAAGAGTCTTCTTACAGCTTTATTTTTCCAATGTTCTACATGTTTCCTCCAATTTAAGCATAGACTGAGGATGCAACCCAAATATTTTCTCGAATCATTATTGTGTTGAACATCTACACTCTTATATGTCAACTTCGGGGTAAAAGTCTGTCTGTTCAGAGTCAAGAACAAATTATAAAAATTATGTTATGACATCACTAACATAATTTTTTTAATTTTGCGTTTTAATTGCCCTGCACATAAGAGAGAAATAAGAACAAAGTGAATGACAAAAGTTACCAGCAAAACCTAAGACAAACATGATAACATAATTCATGCAGACTGAAGTCATTGTTCAAATAATAATTCATAACTATGATTACTAGTCTCTGTAACAATTTATAAACAATCTGGAATATTAAAAAATATGTGTCATGTTGGTTTCTCAACAATTAACAGAGATCTTCAACAAATTAGGAACTGAATTGAAAATAAAGAGAATGCTTGTGTGTTCAGAATTATTGACTACATTTGAAATTTGTGAAGAACACTTACTAGAATAAACCATTTTTGGGTTCTTGCACAAATGACATGACCAGTGATGCCTTTCAGTCTTAATTTTACATCATCACACTTCCAACTGTTCAAGCAAATGATGGAAAGTCTCCAAGGACAGTGTTCCGATAAAATGAAAGACAATGATTATTGGAACTTAATTGGACAATGGATAAGGTAATGCTTAAAGGAATTTCCCCACAGTGGCTTTGAGCATAATGCCTAGAAATGTCACATCATCAGTTCATACTTTTCTAAATTGATAGCATAAATTGATGTTGCTGAAATTTCCAGATGAAATAACATTATGTGTTTTTCTTTTTAGGAATTTTTATTCAAACATAAAAATTGAATGACAGACAAAACCTTTTGCAAATAATATTACATTTTTAACATGAAGGAAAGTCTGTCCACCATCAGATCTGAAATTGTTTTAAGTTCCTTTGCAGCTTATCATTGTTTTAAGTTTCTTTGCACGTTTTCACCCAATAAACACTACTGGGGATCTATAGAAGTCTCGTGTTTTAAAACTTCGTTCTTGGTCACTTGATTCAATTATTTGGAAAAACAGAACACCTAAGAGTTGGCTTGTGCTTAGCTCTGTTCTCACAAAAAAAAAAGAAACACATTAATTATAAACAGATGCTACTGTAATGTTAGAAAATTTCCTTAAAATCATTTCAAAAGAATATCATCAATGAATACTGATACACCTTGAAACTCAAATTAAAAGAATAATATAGAATACAAGTAGTTCTGCATCAGTTTAGTTATCTATGCATATTTCGTCCGTTTCTGAACATTCCTTCATAATGTATTTTTTCAGTTTTCAGCAAACAGTTTATTTTGAAAATGTTTTCATTAGCCATCAGTTTTACTTTACAAAATTCTTATGTTTAACATCTTACAATCAAGTACGAAAATGAATCATACATTTTTCACTTGCCCTCCATATAAATTTAAAAAAAAAAAAAAGTTAGGAATCACAGATCATTATAAAACTTTCGATCTAAATATATATTCTTAAAATGACAATGAAATAAAGAAAAAGAAACGACAGGATTAGGAATATTATATGTATAGTACTTACCTGGAGGGGAACTTACTGAGCGCATAGTTTTCACATGTTTCTAAAAAAGAATTACAATCCTGGATAAAAATATGGTTGACATACGCATAACATTATTTTCTCATATATTTAAAATAAATCAATATAAATTACAATGTCACTGTCCTTAATTAATAAGAGAACTTTTAGAATACATCATTAAAATTGATTTTGATGAGGTCATTGCTTCTCTTGAATGCCAATACTTAATTTAAAGTTATAAATATTTTATTGAAAATGACATTCAAAATGGCTATGTTCAACTCCTTACGAGTATAAACTTATCGATGTTCTATCAGCAAGATTATTCAAAACAATCACAATACTATACTGTTAAAAAAACAATTGAAAATGACTGCTAGAAACTATTATATTACGATTACTCATGTAAAAAAAATGCACACTGATGACAGCACACCCATGTCAGTTACAGAAAACATTCATTCTATAATCTGCCTATAAGAAGCATTGGAACTTGGAATACAACAATCAGAACTCATAAAAATGGTGATATTGCTTTATAAAAATGATGAACTGTCATGGGAATGGTTTCTAGAGTCTGGCATTTTCCAACAATTTTGGCGAATTCCGCAAGGTGGTTGTGTTAACATGTGTGAGTCATATAATGTAGTGAAATATACCACATGTTTAGCATTACACTCCCAAAAATTTTGGAGAGACTCTACTAAGAACATTTCTAACATCAAAATGCATTATACCATTAGAAACAATTTACTAATTTGTTTTAAACGATTTTATGCCTTTGAAAAACACATGCTTATTTATTTTTACTTTATTTTGTATCATTTCTGTTGCATAAAGAAATCATCATAAAAATTTCTAATTATATGCTAATGATGACACTATTTATAAAAATATAGCTTTTTAAAAATTGTACCATTGAACTGCAAGTACCTCATTCATCTATTGAAAACATGAATTTTTGTGATTAAGCAATATGATCAATTTACTCTAAACCAAGATACAAGTAAAGAAGGATGGCTTATACATGGGTGTTTACTGTAAATATGTAATTCAGTCATGTAAAGTATGTAAGTAATATCTTAGAATTTAAGTTTTATAGTTGTAAAATAATCTGGCACTTTCCTTTTATTAACAAAGACCCAACTCTTTTCAAAGGCGTATTAAAGCTCTATTATGGGAAGCCTTTGATAACCTGAATAGTTGAATGCTATGGAAACACTATTACGACATAATTGGTTATGTGATTGCAGTAAATTTGAATGATGGGACAGATTTTGGATAAGAAGTATATTGTTATTTTGAGATTTACACGGTAAAATGGCTGAATGTTGTAAGATTAATTTGAAGTTACTGCTGAATGTTATAAGATTAATTTGAAGTTTCTGTATGATTTGGAATGAAAGGGAAAAAAATATTAATTGTGTAAATGAAGGTTACTTAGTTGCCATTATAAATGTCCTGTTTGTAGGAAGGAAATGCGTATGGTCGAAACGTCGGAGGATACCTGCACTATGGAGGATATTTATGAATCTTATTTTTGTGAATTTATGCGGCAGAGCCACTATACAGATTCTAGTTCAGATAATTTTAGGAAGTTTTGGGTTACTGTTAAGGAATTTTGTTTGATTGAAAACAGGGAAATTTGTAAATAAGGTAAGTGGATATTTCCTTTGTGTAGTGCTAAGGTAAATTTCCTTTTTTATGTTATTTTATTGTTGGATTTAAAATGTAGTTTATTGAGATTATATATTTTTTGTTGGCTGCACATTTGACCTTTTTAAGTAAATATAGATCGATGTGTACATGGACAAAGTCAAGGGAGTGTGCAATGCCTAGTTTGTGCAATTCTCTGATGTTTTTTTAAGTGAAAATAGGTCCATGTGTACCTGGATACCAAGTTTGTTCAATTCTTTGACTTATTATTTTGGATTTGTATGGTGCCAAAAAATTGGCTACACAAAGCCAAAATAACAAGTCAAAGAACTGCACAATTTCGGTGTCCATGTACTGCCAAAAGTCGCCAATTATGGCTAAGGGGCACCCGTAAACTTATTTTTACCAAAATATTCTCTAATCACATAATTTTGATAGCATTCAATTCAAAATTTGTAATTTTGACATTAGTGAATCATGATATGATCAATGATATCTATACCTGAATCTCTCCAATTCTCATTTTGCCATTTCCATAAAATTATGCTACCAGAGCATTTACCTTACGATTTGCCAAAGTGTTAACACTTCACAAAACATAAGATCTTAAATCTAACTTTCAAATTAAAACTGTGCAAACTAAGCTAAGTTATTTAAATACAATAAAAGAATTTCTGAATAATTTAGATCTCTTTCTTTAATAATACATCTAATTAATGAAATTTATCTACTTAGTTGATGATTTTCATGAACTTCTGCATTATCAGTGTATTTCAAAAGAGATATTTCTTAAGCTAAATATTACTCGATATTATTCGGCTGCTTCTTGTCAACCAATAAATCTGTTACATCCCCCACATGGTTAATAAAACCTTTAACAGTATATTTACATAGTCAGAAAAGAAGAGAGAAGATTCTGGTTTAACTATACTATTAAATATCGATAAAAAAGTGGACACTGAATATATATATTACACAAAAATTATATCACTAACATTTCATTATGATCAATACAGAAAAAAAAATTCAGGGCAAATTCTGAATATTCCTTAAAGGGCATACTGCTTCACATAATTTTTTTTAAAATTATGCTAATGAATGGAAGTTAGCATCACATGTATTTGAAAACTTGCTACAGTTTTTGTGGGTTAATGAAGTTAAATACTGAACAGCACAAATTTACAATGCATTAATTTTTAGTCTTGAAGAGTCATAACTCAGTTTTGCTCAGATAAACTTTAAAAAGATATATAAAGCATACGCTGTTTTTTTTTTTTTTAGGGGGGGGGGAATAAAATTAATATAAAAGCTTAGAAAAGAGTTACCCAAAATCAGCTATTTTACGCACACACAAAAAAACAAGCAAAACTTTGTATATTAATACATACAAAAATAAGTATATATTAATTAAGAAACAAGAACAATTAAATAGATTAAATCTGTTACATAAAAATATATTTTAGCATATTTTCAAATGTATATTCCAACTTACTTTAAACGTATTTAACCTGATTGACCATTTAAAATCTCACTGCAGTTTAAAAGGATTAAGAAATATACAACAATTATATAAACATGATTTCTTCGTTATGGAATTTGTGTACTTTATTGATCTAAAGGATTAAATATTTAAACTAACCGATTCATTATATGTTATCGAACAACCTACAACGCATACCTACAGGCAACTTAAAATTCAAATATCTTACCGGGGGTTCCATGCTGGACGTTATTATTAAATTAAAATGATATCTACAGTAAGATAATAATCAGATCGTTATGAAAAATGCATAGTAATAAGTATATATGAGGTCGACTATGTTTAGGTAAAAAATAAATAATCTTAACAAAAGATTTAGAAGTTTAGCATATTATTTTCCCCCAAATCACCGGATTAATTTTATGTTGACAAACACTACACAATAGAGTTGAGATACGTAACTCCTGACACACAACTCATAAATTAGCGTAGGAATTTTCGTCATTCCCCACACTAGTTCCTTGTAACTCTCGCATAATTTTGTTTATCATTCAAATACCAATTCTCTTATCGAAAAAAAACTTGCCGCCTTCCATGACAGATTTTACCGTTTGAAAATTTGATAGATTTGCTGGATTCTTCAGTAAATTTCTAGAATTCATTTCTCAGTTTAAAAAACTGAAATCTCCTGAAGAGAAATAAGAGTTAGCACTGTGTTTTGAAAAAATTTTCGACGATATGGAACTTTAATTTTCCTGCTGTTTTTAACCCGTTTGGGCTCGCTACATGGCGCAACACCCTTGCGGAGCCAATCTCTACTAAATTACGATAACTGCCTTCATCTTGGCCTGTTAATTCCTGTTAATTTCGCATATAATAGATAAAGGAAATGCTAGTGGCAACCATCTTACGTAGACAAATTTGGTGTCGGTTGAATCAATAGGTTATCAATTTCGTTCATTGGTCTTGTGTGAGAGTTGGGTCGTCGAAACTGTCGTATGAATAAGAATATTTGTATTCATTTTGTGAATTTATTTTATTATATTTTTATTTTTTACACAAATGTTATTTGATATAAAATCAATAAAACTGAAAATCATATTGACATGATTATCTGTTCCATTGTCTTATGTTGTATGAAATATTTGCTTTAAGTTTTATGTATGACTTCTGATGATGTATTCTTTAAGTGTTTTGTGTATGACTGTTTTACTTTCAGCGCCATTAAGGCACATTTACTGCAACTGCGTTGAAATACAGCTAGCAAAAGTGCTAGCTACTCGCGGCATAACAGCGGAACTTCGAACGCGGTTTTCCCCACACCTGCTAACTCTGATCTCCTGGACCCACATTCTGCATTTGTCTCCTTGAAACGACAGTAGAGGCAACAGCATTAAACGAGAGCATGTCATGCAAAAAATGCAGAATAATCGCGGCGATTAGTGACAGCTGAATTTGGAGACCCGGCCTTTTCATATTCTATATGTTAGACCTTCTGGTTTTTCCCGACTAAAATGATGTGCGAGTTCATCAGTACCATTGGAATACGCAATTATGTCTCGATATTCATGATATTTAGGAATGCAGAAATTTAGTAAGAAATACGTTTCCTATCATGACGTGGAAGGAAGAGAGGATCAGGGAAACTATTCAGTAGTAGAAAGCGTCCAATTTCTCTACAAAAGATCTTTCTAGGTTCTAGTTCTGCGACACTTCTAATGACGATCAAAGACGGCTTGAACTTTTTAAAATAGCAGATAAGGGCTCGTTGCTGTACGCCTTCATGACAACTATGCTGAATACATCGCTTGTGCTAAAGTAAGAAGAAAACGAACATCCAACACTTGATCTTTGTATTGCAAATGAAAAATATCCTCAGTTTTTAGCAAATCATAAGAACTTGATGGACTCTACCTTTTCCTTCCATCATGAAGTGACCATATTAGACATGAAGAACCTGAAAGTGAAAAACTTACCATCACATTAAAGCTTGCTGTGGAAAAAGAGTCTCCCTTTTTTTTTTAACCAAACTAAGATCCAGTTTGAGGCAGTTAAAAATGGTTCTGCAAGGAACAGTAACTTTAGATAAAGAGTCCTATCTTTTTTTGATGCACGCTTTCTATTCAGACCCATTTTTAACAAGTTCTTTTATCCAACCTTGGAAATGAACGTATTACACAAGTCATTATATTCCAAATATTGGAATAAAGTAAATTCTTTTATTGTCAAACCTTTTAGTGATATTTCAATGAATCCCATGAATAGTTTCTGTGCTGTTGTTAGGTTTTCAGATCTTAAAGTGACATTAGGTTTATATGAAAGAATAGTAAATAAAAAAAAATTTGTAATAATTAACACTAAGCCATAAAGTTTATACAAAGCAAACAAAATTTTATTTACCTTAACATACTATTAAAAATATTAATAATTTACAGTCTCGTTACTTTTACAATTGCTGACAGGAGCTTCTTAAATCTGATTACCAGTAATGAAAAGATAGAGACTGGGTCCAGTCTGAGTTCCCCACCCATATTTGATTGGTTCCATTAGTGAAGTAGAAGGTAATAAAGACTCTTCTGGACAGCCAGAGCTCTGATCGTGCTTGATTGGTAAAGTATTGACTCCTCCGTACAATCCATAGGTGATTGTTTGATGGCAGTAGTAGTAACAGTGGCAGCATAAAGAATACCTTGTAAAGTTGGTTATTTGACTTGGTTTGTTAAAGAAATGTCCATAAGACGTCCGTCTTCAGAAAGAAAAGCATATTTAAAAATTTCTTTGCCCTCTTCACTAAAATAAGCCAAATTTTTGTATATCTTGAATTTTTTAATTTTCAGCAGACAGAATAGCTAACCTCTGAATCAAAGCGCGTATTTCTTCTTTCTATCTCCTTGTTCCAGATGTTTAACTCTGCCAAACAGATAATCAAATATTTTGTTTCCCTTTTTATTTCCTTGTACGAAGTAAAAAGGAAGTATTATAATGGCGAAAATTTTTAGGGATCATATTTCAACGAAAATATCCAATTTAACCGCTATCGAAAGAAATTTAACGATGTTTTTGCGTGTTATCTGTACATAAGGACAGAATAAAAGACTCTTTTCCTCCAAAAAAATTATAAAACTGCTTTAAAATGAATTCTGCAGAGAATTTTTCGTGGCGTCTGTACGAACGTATGTACGTACGTACGTATCTCGCATAACTCAAAAACGAGTAGCCTCAGAACGTACAAATTTTGTATATAGGACTGCTATAACATATAGATGTGCACCTCGTATTTTGGTTGCAATCGGCCGCGCCAAACGTATATAAATATATTTATATATATATCCACTTTGTTACCCGGCTCAGTGATCTCAGTTTCTTTACTCTTATATGTTTGTAAATTGTACATTTTTTGCTTTAAAAATGATTGGAATATGTTGTTCTTATCTTTCGTTTAAGGTTTTTATGCCTTTAGTACATCTGTATGCAATATTTTTAGAATTATCAACAATTTTAAAGTTGTTTAAGTGCCGCCAAGCCTAATAATGTTTTTGTGGCGGCCATTGCTTGTTTACATTTGAAACAGCAGAATAGTGGATTTGTTGCCAATCTAGAGAAACTTAGCTTCGTGACAACAAAGACAACGCCTTCATTTATTATTGCCAATTAAATCATGCTTAATCCTTTCTGGAATTTTTTCGAGAAAATAAGTAATTTTTAATACAGATGTTTTGACTTTTTATGTATTTTTGCCTTGTCGCGAAGTGAGAACTGAATTAATTGAATGAGAAATACTCAATCGTCTGTGAAAAACTGTTTCCTTTTTTGTTTTGTTTGCTTAATTTCTTTTATACATCGTTCTAGCTTTATTATAGTATTTGAATAGAACATGTGGCAACGATTAGATAATTCTTTAAATGATATAAATTTTGTGCATTCTGAATTATAATATGAACGAAATATAATACTGTTAAGTGAACCTAGCGCCAGAGTGTCGCTATGGTAAACAAATAGAGTGAATTTTAAAGAATGCATTTATTCTATTGTGGTTTATGCGCTGTCGGCGAAGTAGATTTAATTCAATCCAATAAGTTTAAATGAAATGCAAGAAAAAAATGCGTATAATTTAATATTCCGTACAAGGAAGTCATGTGGTGTACACATTAGATTTTTTCTTTTCTTTTTCTTATGGAAAAAGAAAAGAAAAAATTAAAGAACCAAACAAGTTTAAAACAAGTTGTTAAAGAATAATGTATTAAAACACATGATTTTAATCATCTCCAGAAGAGAACCAAACATTTCTAGCTTTAACTTTAAAATGTCAAATTCTGTTTTTAATATATTAAGAGTAAATTTTCTTTATTCTTCATGGCTTTTTTTTATTGTTTACCCGTCATGTAAAAATCTGATGTCGACGTGACATGACTTCCTTATATAGCCTATTAAATTCTGCACATTTTTTTGCTGCACTTCATTTAAATTTATTTTCTCGAATATCAATACAGATATATTTCCGATTCAATCAATTTCGTTCTAACGTCGCGGGAAAGAAAAAATGCATAAAAACTCAATCATCATTGAAAATTGTAAAACAGAGAAAAACCTAAAATACCAAATACAGTTCAAAAACGTTTAAAACAATTTTTAGAATTAAAATTAGACTTTCTGCGCAAAGAGAAAAAAATTCGACCAGAAGACAGGAGGATAAAATTTTCGGTGCACAAAATTTAAAGCCAACTTTCGGTCGCACTGGACAAACGAACACTGAAGTTGGTGAACCAACTGAACTAAATTCACTGTAATTGTGATCAAATGTAAACAAATGGGGTCTCGTTAGGCTTAGCACCAATTTTAAATTCTTTATAATTCTACAACTATTGCATGCAGGTTAACCAAAGGCATAATAACTTTAGCTGGAACAAAAGAACAACACACCGTGTTTATTCTCGTAATAGTCGCACATTTTTGCTAGTTTTTCATTGTGAAATTCTAGGTACAACTATTATGCAGGGAAATCTACTGCAGAATATTGTACAATCTAATGCTAAAACATTACTGATATAAATAATGCATTATAATAAAATTAGTCACTTAGAAAATGTTTCCAAATCATTTGCCGTTTAATAAATAGTTTTTTCGTCAGCTGCACACACACAAAAAAAGAAATGTTTATTTTCATAGTAATGTTTTATAGACATAAAATTCACAAATAATCTTTTTGAAAATTTTGATAAAAATTTCTAATAACGTAATGCATAATAAATCACTTTTACTGAAAGTATAAGTGTCATTGTTGTCATGTGAATCGGTGTCTGAAGAATCTGTCATTCCATACATTGTCATTTATGCTTCTGTCCAAAGCTTTGGAGATACCGCACATCCAGCATTTCGTAATGCATAAACATAAGAAAGAAGTTCCTTTTCTATCATTGGGGAAATTCCATGCTTTGGTCCTCTGAATGCTCGCCT